GAGGTGCCCTGGGATTAGTACCTGTCCCCACATAGTTCCCCAAGCACTGCTAGGGGTGACTTAAGCAGTGCACTGGGACTAGCCCATGAGCACCACTGGTGTGGTCCCCAAAACCAAAAAATTACAGTGAATTAATCCCTTAAATAGAAAATAAGATTCAAGGGGCTGGAGCAATAGTACAGTGTAGGATGTTTGCCTTGCTGACCCGGGTCGATTCCCAGCATCCCATATGGTTCCCTGAGCACCACCAGGAGTAATTCCTGAGTGCAGAGTCAGGAGTAAGCCCTGAGCATCGCTGAGTATGACCCAAAAAACCAAAAGAAAAAGAAAATTAAGATTGGGGGTTTTCAATGAAAATTCTCACTTTCATTAAAAACTAGGTTTTGGTAGAGAGAGAGAAGGCACCCACCTTGCATGCTGCTTACCCAGGAGCAATTCCCAACACACCATATGGTCCCCTGAGCACTGCCAGGAGTAATCCACGGTCACAGAACCAGGAGTAACCTCTGAGTACTGCTGGGTGTGTGTGCCCCCCCCAAGGGGGGTGTGAATTAGCACATATTTGTTTCTTAAATCAATGACTAATTATTAGAGGTCAGCAAGGTTGTCTTGCAAGCAGAAGATCCAGGTTTTATCCCCAGCACCACATGTGGTTCCCGAGCCTGATCTCACAGCCAGGAATTAGTTATGAGCATGGCAGGTGTGATGCTCCTCTCCCCACCCTGCCTGAAAAACCAACAAAAAAAGAAGTTATCATTCTTGTTTGTTTTCACAATGGGCTAGATAGATAGTACAGCATGTAAGGTGCTTATCTGGAGGCCAAGCCTGGCTTTGATCCCCTGCATCTCTTGTGGTCCCCTGAACACCACCAAGAGTGACTCCTTATTCCTGCACAAAGGCAGGAATAAGCTCTGAGCACCTCAGGGTGTGGCCCAAACTCTCCCACAGCCTCCTTCAACCACCCCCACCTCCAGCCAGTGTTAGAGTAGTAATCATAAAAGTAGCTTCTCTGTGTGCGCTGCCAAGGGAAAACCCGGGTCTCATGCGTGTTAGGAATGTGCTTTGTCATCAAACCCAATCACAGTGACTGTCCACGAACCTTTACTGGACTCAGTTTCTTCCTGTGGCTCCTGGCGCGGCCCAGCACCCTCTGCTGTCATCTCATCCCGCAGGACTGGACTGGAGCATTTCTTTCTAGGCAGCCACAACCTTGCTTGTATTTTTTTTGTGACTGAGAATCTTCCCCCACAACCCCTTCCCTTTGTTGTGTTCTCACGGCCCCGACACACACACGCACACACACACACACACTCCAGCCTGGAGTGTACATGAGCTTTTCCTGTGCTCAGACCATGCTGGTGGCACACACACACACACACACACACACACACACACACACACACACACACACCCTCCAGCTTGGTGTGTTCATGCACTTTTGCACACACACACACACACACACACACACACACACCCTCCAGCTTGGTGTGTTCATGCACTTTTGTGCTCAGGGACCATGCTGGTGGCAGTGCCCAGCAGAGGGCGCAGGTTTGTGGCATTATATTGGAGGCTGTACCTGCATGGCTGCAGGGCTCTGGGAACAGCACTGCTTGGGACACAGGTGGGCGAGGCGTTTCCTGCCAGGCAGGTGCTCTACCACTGAGTGATCCCCCACCGTGCCATCTCTCCTTATTTTCCATCTGGAATTTTTAAAAATATCTTCTCACTTAAAAAAAAAGATTTGCTTTTCTAATGCCCCAAAAGGGAAGGGGGTGGGGAGAGAAAGCGAAATAGACAGAGACACATACAGAGACAGAGACAGAGAGAAGGAAAGTGCCTGCCATAGAGACCAGCTGGGAGACGGGAGGCGAGAGGGAAACTGGGGGCTGGCGGTGGGAAATGTGCACTGGTGAAGGGACAGGTGTTGGAACACTGTATGACTGAAACCTGACTCTGATCAGCTTGGTAACTATCTCATGGTGACTCGAAAAAAGATATAAAAATAAGAATTTGGTTTTGGGGCCACACTCAGCTGTTCCCAGCCCTTGCACCTGGTTCTGTGCTCAGGGATTATTCCGCCAGGGCTCAGGGGACCCTATGCGGTGCCGGGTATTGAACCTGGGTGGGCGTTGTGCAAGGCGAGTGCACTACCCACCGTGCTACCACTCTAGCCCTCAACACACTGACCCTTTAAGTCCCTGAGTGGTCCCTTCAGCATTAGGCGAAGGGGTGTGCAGCCCTATCGTTCTCCTCCACATCTCTGCCACCAGAACACTTGGCGCTCCCCCAGTTCTGCCAGCTGATGTGAGCTGGAGCTGGAACAGGTGTGCAGCTGCCTGCCTCTGGCTGGGTGGGTGGGCGGTGGCAATGTGTGAGCACCACTGTGCCAACATGAGCAGCTACTGATGGTGCAAGTATTGCCCTGGACTTGGTGCTTTTTGCCTCCAGAATTCCAGAACATTTGGACCATGCCATCGCTAAGTGGGGAGACACTGCTGCCTTCTCAAAGTACCCAAACTTTTATTTTCAATGTTCTCGCATGAGATGCTACCCAAGTCAATACTGAATTTCTACACAAATTTGAACCTATTTCCACTCTAGGATTTGCGTGGTATTTACATTGCACATTCCTAATACTAATGGTTGTACATTGTACATTCCTAATGGTTAATGCTTTCCTAAAATATAAGTGAAATACACCCTTGATGTCCCTTCAGAAATCTGATTTTGGTTTTTCCAGGTATGAACATTAAAATGAGGGGGAGAGGCTACTTGTATTAGTTAAAGGCAGACCCTGGAGCCCAAGCGCTAGTACAGTGGGTGGGGCATTTGCTTCGCACGTGGCAGACCCAGGTTTGATACGGTACACAGAGCCTGCCAAGAATGATCCCTGAGCACAGTCGAGTTAAGTCCTGTGTGTGGTCCAAAAAACAGAAGTCAAAATAAAGGTAGGCCCTTTGATGCAAAAGCATGCTATGCCTTCCTATTTGTTCATGATGCTTTTTCACTTAGTTTCCAGATGTCTGTATTTTTAAAGTTTCACTTCCTAGGTTTCCTTGTGCTTTTATTTTCTAACTAGTTGTATATTTTCAAGCTTCAACTCCTTATACTTCGTTTCATTTTCCAACTAGCTGCATATAGGAAGCTGTTGACTTCAGCTTGGGAATAGCTTTTCGTTAATAATCTGTTGACATGAGAAAAACACTGACTCCTTTATTTTTGTGTTTTTTTCCTTGTCTAACTGCTCTAATTACTATGCCCAGAATATTAATCACAGCGAGTAAACACATTTGTCTCAAACCTTGGGGAAATGTGTGCCCAGTGTTTGATTTAGCATGATGTGGTCTTTCTATTACTCATACTTCTGAAGAATGTACTTCTACGCTTTTGAGAATGTTTATCAAGAATGAATTGTACAGCATGATTCCTAAGATGGTAAATTTTTTTGTGCCACACCCAGCTTTACTTAGAACTTCCTCCTATTTCTGTGCTCAGGGGAGTTTCAAGGGACCTTATGTGATGCTGGGGATTAAACCTAGGTTAGCTGCATACAAGGCCTTACCTGCTGTACTATCTCTAAGGCTCACAATTTCAGTCCTGTTTGCTTTGTTTTGGGGTCACACCCAGCAATGCTCAGGTGTCGCTCCTGGCTCTGAACTCAGAAATTATTCCTGGTGGAACTTGGGGGACCATATGGGACGCTGGGGATTGAACCTGGGCCAGCTGTATGCAAGGCAAAGGCCCTACCCACAGTACTGTCACTCCGGGCCCAGTTTGTCTTTTTTTTTTTTTTTTGATTTTTGAGTCATACCCGGCAATGCACAGGGGTTACTCCTGGCTCTGTGCTCAGGAATTACCCCTGGCAGTGCTCAGGGGACCATATGGGATGCTGGGAATCGAACCCAGGCCGGCCGCGTGCAAGGCAAACGTCCTACCCGCTGTGTTATTGTTCCAGCCCCATCAGTTTAAGTCATTTTTAACTTTTCCAGTTCCTCAAGTTAAGAGAGTCATGAATATAATATAACCCAGATTAACTTTTATGCATAGAGAGAACTCCAGGCCAAGACAACGTGGAAAAATTGCTTATAACATTCTCTCAAAAGACAGTCTGCTTTTTAACCACTATGGAGATGCCCATGAACTCTCTTGAACACGTATCTCTCCTTTTCTCTCCTCTCACATTTCTCTAAATTTCTTTCAATGAACTCTTTCATGGATAGTACAGCGGGTAAGGTGCTTGCCTTGCATTGGGCAACCCGAGTTTAATCCCCAGCATCCCATATGGTCCTGAGCACCGCCAGCAGTGAGTTCTGAGTGCAGAGCTAGGAGTAAGCCCTGAGCACCAGTGGGAGTGGCCCCCAAACCAAAAAACAAATAAAAATCCCATTTTGAGTCACTTAAATCATCAATTTCTCATCTTGCCCAACCCAGGGCTGGAGCAACAGCACAGCGGGTAGGGCATTTGCCTTGCACAAGGCTCACCCAGGTTCGATTTCTCCACCCCTCTCGGAGAGCCTGGCAAGCTACCGAGAGTATCACGCCCACACGGCAGAGCCTGGCAAGCTCCCCGTGGCGTATTCGATATGGCAAAAACAGTAACAAGTCTCACAATGGAGATGTTACTGGTGCCCACTCGAGCAAATCGATGAACAACAGGATAACAGTGCTACAGTGCCCAACCCAGATTTCTTGTAAAGCCACAGTCCTTAGGGTATTGTGGACCGATATGGAAGCTGGAGATTCCCACTCATATATGTGGCAACCGAGCAAAGCAAGGATTCCACATGGAAGATGCAAGATTCTAAAGCTTCAGTAGGTAAAAGAAATGTGAAACAGTATTTTAATGTGTCATGAGGATCCTTTAAAATTACACCCCACACTGCAATCCTAGTATGTAGCGCTGGTCTGGGGAGGCGACTACCCCCTTCCCTCCATCCACTAGTCCCTTCCTGACCAGGCCCTGGCTTTCTCAGAACCATTGAAGACAGCACCAGCATGACCCCAGGTTAGTGTTGGCGTTTATTTTAAAAATACACAAAATATAAAATTTTTACATCGGTGTGTGATGACCTCACTCATACATCGCTCCATACTTACCTGGCTCTGATTGTGTCCTCACACAGACAGTAAGAACGGGGTGGACTGGATTCTGATTTTTTTTTTTGCGATGGCTCATGTAAACAGCTGAGACTGCTACCTAAAGGAGGTTGCTTGCCACAGAAACCCAACGGTAATAAAACAATTTGATTTGGTTTGTTTAATGATATTGGCAAAAGTCTTAGCAGATAGAATCAGAGACTATATATTGGTTTCTAGGCATTTTAAATGTTAAAAAACAAACAAAAACAAAACAAAACAAATAAAACCTCCAGATTGTTTTCTTCATCTTGTAAACATAACTTAGGCCTTGTTGGCATCAGGTTTGCAAAGTAGATCTTAGACCATGATTTCCATCGTCCTGCCCATGTCAGTACACACTCTCTTTATTATTAGGAGAATGGAACCAAATAATAAGCAAAATACATCAGGAATTTCGAATTAGACTGGAAGGAAGGTCCCGGGTGGTCTTTCCTGGGAGCCAGCCAGCCTGAGCTGCGCCTGCCACCGCCGGCAGCGCGTGTGGGACCCCCGCTGTCCCCGGGACGATGCGCTGCCACAGGCCCCGAGACCCTCAGTCCCTCCTGCTCCGTGTCTTCTGAAGCCACCGAGATGCCACTCCCACCTCTGCGGGCTCCACGGGCCGTCCTAGGGTTTGGCTTCGTCGGGTGAGTGTCTGCAGCTCCTGTCAAGACTGCACCGTCCCCTTAAGGTACCACATGCCGCCGTAGCTGACACAGCAGTCCTGCGGAGGGAGGGAGGGGCCGGGCTCAGAGCGGGGGACAGAGCTGCCACAGTCTCTGCAGGCGGGATGTGGCTGTGCCCGCTGCAGGGCTTGAGCCCTGGCACCCTGCCGTCCCCCCTGAGCACTGCTGCGCATGGTCCCCTCAAAAATCCAAACCAAGAGAGCCCACAGACGGGAGCTCCCAGAGCTGCCTGACCTCGATACTGGGGGACAATCTGCCGTCCCAGGTGTAAGGCTTGGCGAGTCTTTGGAGGTACAGTCAGGGAAGGTGCCGTGGAGACACGATACACAGGGTCTGAGAGCACAGAGGGTGGGTCCTTTGCCGTGCCTCGACCGACTCCAGTTGGATCCCTGACCCAGGTTCGATCCCAGCATCCCCCGAGCACCACCAGGAGTAATTCCCGAGTGGAGAGCAGGGGTACCCCTGAGCACTGCTGGCTGTGGCACCAAAACAAGCAAACAAGAAAACCCCACAATGCACAAAAACTGTCACTGCACCAACCAGAACAAAGGGGGCTCAGTGTCACGAGATAAAGCCTTGGATGTCAAAGGTAACAGATCCCTGAATCTTTTGGTGGGCTGGAAGGGTGGGGGGGACAAGAAGACACCAGCGGACACAGGTGGCAGGAGGGAGGTGTCCTCTGGTGGTGGGGTGTGGTATAGTAACGCTGTCAGATGCAAACAGTAACACCAACACTATTGCAAATCACAATGAAAAAAGAAAAAACACTACAAAACTCCAATAAAAAAAAATAAAAGCTTCTAAGAGGAAACCAGAAGGTAAGGCCACGCATCGGTCAAGTGCCCACACAACACGGCAGCTCGAGCAGCAGCTCCGCGGTATTTCCCCCTGCCAGACCCAGGCCGTGCTGATGTCCTCTCACAGGGACTCCCCCAGTCACTCCTGCAGGTGTCGGCCCGGCCATGGGGCCTGATCGCGGGGTCCCGAGCAGTGCCAGGCAGGTTCTCCGGAGTGACACGGAGTGCCCGTGCAGTCTCCTCTCAAGTCAGTGTACATGGGCCAGAACGATAGCCCAGCGGGTAGAGCGCTGTCCTTGCAAATCGCAAACGCAGGCTCTCTAGCCCCCTGCACCCCCCCCAGGAGTGATTCCTCAGTGCAGAGCCAGGAGTAACCCCTGAGCATGGCCAGGTGTGGCCCCAAACCAAAAACCAAACAAAAAAGTGAATGCATGTGGAAAGAATGGATCCCACTGAGAGTCGGAACCCAGGAGTTGGCATGAGGCTACGGGACAATCACAGAACGATAGATTTAGGAGTCAGGACGCCAACCAAGGAGGAGCGTGATGACTCACGGGGACCATGGACCGTCTCTCCTTATGGTACGGCCTCCATCCTGTTCGGTTGAGGGGTACTGTACCCCCCTACTGCTCATCAGTACAGGGGAACCCTAACTTAACAGGCAGGAGGGGGTCCAGCAAAGGCCTCTTACACGCCGCCCATGTCCAAGACAGGAGAGAGGGGCCGCAGAGAGCCCAGTGGGTAGGGCGCTTGCCTCGCATCTGGCATCATCAGAGTCCAAATCATGACGCCCCGTGCAGTCCCGAGTCCTGCCAGGAGTGATCCCTGAGCACAGGGCCAGGAGTAAGCCCTGCGCACCACCGTATGTGGCCTCAAAACAAATACAGGTGAAAACTAAACCACCCTCCTCCTCCGCCCCGGTCCAGAGCAGAAGCCCCGAGCACTGTGATATTGAGCATGGGACAGTGTACCTTTAACACTTTATCCACTTCCTGTTTACTGAGATCTTCTCCACACTCTTGAGTCAACCGGGACTGGATCATGTTCCGGCGTACCCGATAATTTTTGGAGAAAATTTCAAGCAAGACCTGTCGATGCTTTTGTAGCAAAAACATGTTATTATGGGGAACAATCGCCTGGACGGGGAACATCCCAAACAAGAAACCCCTAAGACTGAGCCTCACTCCTTGTCCAGGGCATGAGATAAACACACTTGGCCAATGTGCCATCTCTCGAGTCCCTAATACTACGACAGGAAAACAATTAAGGGCATTTATTTCGTAAAAAGAGGAGGCAGTAAAGGACTTGCAGAGTTCCAACACCCAGAGGAAGACGGGAGTAACGCCAGTCTACACACACGGAGCCTGACAGAAATCAGAAGCGAGTGATTTCAAGTCTTCGCCCACAAATGACAGTGTAGCCACAACAGACACTGCCTCCCCCAGTGCAAAGATCAGCTGAGGCCGCAAGGGCAGACGAGGCAGTCACGAGAGAAGAGGCTGGGTTTAGGAGCCGGAGCCACAGCACAGCAGGAAGGGCATTTGCTTTGCATGCGGCCAACCCTGGTTTGATCCCTGGCTTCCCATATGGTCCTCTGAGCACTGCTAGGAGTAATTCCCGAGTGCAGAGCCAGGAGCGACCCCTGAGCACCACTGGGTATGATTCCAAAAAGCAAAATAAATACATTTTAAAAACAGGTCAGGTCTAATCTGGTTGGGCTACATGCATGTTCTTTAGTAGGGACATGAAGTACAGTGCTGCTGTGAACATCCACAGCAGGACGCAGCTGGAGGGCACTGGGATGGGGCACTCAGCCCCAGGAAGCGGCCTATGCTTGCGGGTAAAGGGACGGGGGGGTGAAACTTAGTCACTGAATACCCACTGTGGAAGCTGAACCACGAGAGAAATATCTTGAATTTGACGGGAAAGGAATCTTTCCTGTGAAACCTCAACAGAGGTTTCTCGCAGAGAACAGAAGCCCATTCTGAGTATGAGAGATGGCAAGCGCCGTGTCTATCCTCTTACAGACCAGCACGGAGCCGGCTGCCCCAGGGAACGCGTTTCCTCGAGGCCGAGCCCACAGAGGCCTGGGCACACCGAGCATGCGCCCAGCCGGGGGTCTGGTCCCTCAGTGTCGTGGGGTAGCCCTGGGGGGCCTAACAGCAGCCCCTAGTGTGGAACTGCCCAGTAGGAGCCCCTGCACCTTCTGAGCACTGCTCAGGAGCCCCCCACCCCATAAAGAAAAACCCAAGCATCAGAAACTGTCATCCAAGCCCACAGACTTGGGCGGGAACTCCCGGTGCACCGTGCCCTAGACCCCTGACCCCAGCCCCTTCCCTGCCCGCCGCACCTGGTCGCTCATGTCTCCAGAATCCCAGAGGGCGAACACCTTCTGCTCATCCGGGGATGCGGCCGTCTGTGGGGGGAACTGCCCAAAGCCTGGGGTGAGCCTCCCACGGGCGCCCTGGCCCACACCCCCTCCAGGCCAGCCCCCGACATCTCAGACCTGCTTGTCCCGTGGCCTCACCCTGGGAGCAGGCGGGCCTTGCAGGGTTGCAGAGAGGGGCCATGACCTCAGGAGGCAGGTGCCACCACGTTGGGACACAGGAGGCCAGTACTGGCTCCGCCGTCCTCTCCACCGTGGCTCCCACACAGAGCTGAGCGGCCAACACGGCCGAGCCCGGCCCAGCCCTCCTGACTACAACAGACCCCCAGACTAGCCGGGCCAGGTTGGTGCCCCAGAGAGGGTGTCAGGGTCCCACACACCAGCCTTCCCAAGAGGCAGCCCCATTGGGCTGGATGAGGCCCGGGGCATGTGTCCACCTGGCCCACCTGTGGGTCCTGGAGCCCCAAGGCCGCGGGGGTTTCTTACCTGCCCCCGCCCGTTTCTGCCAGATCCAGGCAGAGACTCGGAGGACAGGAGCCCCCGCCCTCCTGGCCCAGCCGGGCACGCTCAGTGCCTCGACAGTCGCTCAGCCCCCACCTCTCCTCCACCCGGGGGTCCCTGGCTAACGGTGGGACAAGAAACTCGGGGTGGGTGGCAGCGGTGAGGCAGCCCCATGTCCCGGAGGCTCCTGAGCTTCTCTCCTGGCCCGATGGCACCCGGGGCATGAGAGTGGCAAGGTCGCTGCACTTCTCGGGGAAGTGGCGACGCAGACAGAGTGGCAGGGCCTGCTGTCGGTGAGGCCTTGTGGAGGTCGGGCCCCAAGGGCGGCACCGCGGTCTCGCGAGCGCCCCACCCCCCACTACTCACAGGCACCAGGATCTGCTTGCAGCCGGCCGCCAGCACCGTGTCCTGCAGCACGCGGTCCGAGATGCCGCTGAACAGCATGTGGCCGGGGGGCAGGCTGGCCAGGTGCAGGTTGAAGAGGCGCTTGAGCTCGCTGAGCGTCAGCACGATCTGTCTCTGGAAGGTGGCCCGCACGAAGGCGCGCAGTTCCTGGGCCACTGGGGTGCCGGCAAAGTTGGGGGGCGCGTGCCCATTGAAGCTGTCCCCGCCAGCCGCCCGCCCGGCAGGCAGCCCGTTGGCCAGCCGGGGATGGAAGCCGCCGGCACCGGGAGACGTGTCCATGGGCTCCTGGCTGTCGTCCGCCTCCCGTTCCTCCTCGTCCTCGCCCTCCTCGCTCATGGGCTCCTCCTTGACGCGCACCCCGGGCAGGATGGCCGCTGCCTGCAGCTGCTCCCGCCGCCGCTGCAGCTCCCGCTCCAGCACCGCGTGGTTCTGCTGGGCCTTGCTCTTGGCCACCTGCACCCGCTGGTCCCCAGACAGCAGCCCAGTGGGCCCTGTGGGGACAGGAGGCACCGCTCAGGGCTCCGCGGGGGAGGACCCGGGACCAATCCCACTGTCCCCAGGAAGGTGCGCTGGGCTGGGCTCTAGCGAGAGGCCAGTCCTGACTTCCGGCCCCCCTGACGCCGTGGACAGAGAGAACTGGGGAGTCGGGCTCCCTCCAACTCTCCTCTCTCCCTCAGGTGGGCAGGAGAACACGGAGCAGCTCTCCAGCCCCCTCCGGGGTGGCAACAACAGTGGCCCTGAGGCCAGGCCCAGGGCCGCCCACACACCTGGCTGTCCACCCGGCTTCTTTGGCACGGCTTCCTTCACGAGGTTGTACACTTTCTCCAGCCTGAGAGGGACAGAAAGGCCCCGACATCACACGGCGCCTCCCCAGGGCCCGGCTCCCTCAGCGGCACAGGACAGGCCCCGAGAGTGCCCCGGGGCCCACCCCTCTCCCCGACCCCCACCTGCCCCATCTGCTTGGGCCACGCAGGGCCACACTTGCCCCCCTGATGATGCTGTCCCCCTCCCCTTCACACCGGGCTGTGCGTGTGCTGGTCACCCTCACCCCGCTCGCCCTTACTTGGCCTGGATGCCCGTCCACAGCATGTGCTGCCGCTGGACCACATCCGGGTGCTTCCTGATGAACTCCCCATCGTAGGGCAGGAGGAACTCCCAGCCTTTGTTGATCCGCACCACGGCCATGTGCTCCAGAAAGTCCTTCACGTCCTCCGCACAGAGCTGGGGGGGCGGGGAGGGGGCGGTGAGGGTGGTGCCAGAGTGCCCCACCCCCTTCGAGCCTCCCCCACTCACATTCCGTCACTTACTTTCGTCACAGTTGCCACCTCCTTGCGCACCACCCATCGGCTCTGCGTGAACTTCCACATCTAAAGATGAAGAATCGGCATGTTTCCAGGGGGGCAGAGGCGACGCTGAGACGCCTCCCAGCAGTGAGGCCCAGTGGCCGGTTCTGCTCCCCGGAGGCTCACTGCCCCCTACACTCCCCACCCCCATCCCACCCCAGCTGCCTCTGGGCGCTGCCCTGCCCCGTGCCTCCCCCTCCCTCCGCCCAAGTGCACATGCTCACCACAAAGTCACGGCCTCTGCAGAGCACCTCGGCGGGCACCCCGCTGTGGGGGCTAGACGAGTCCTTGGGGTACAGGATGTCACTGGCGGCAAGAGTGGGGATGGCACCTCAGCTCAGAGCTCCGGCCCGCCATCTACCCAGCCTGTGCCTGGGCAGCCCCCTCCCCAGACCCCAGGGGCCCAGCCTAGGTCCATGGTCCCATGGTGTGTGGGGAAGCACAGAGGCTCAAGAGGGCAACGGACCCAGGATCTGGGAGGCGGAGAGGGAGGGGCAGCCGCCTGCCTGCACCACAGTCCGAAGGGACAGTGGACAGCGTGAGCTGAGGCCAGAGGAAGCCAGGAGAGCCCTGAGGTGGGGCCTGAAGCCAGGGGCCCTGGAAGGGGCAGGCGTGGAGGACAACCCCAACAGCTGCCGCAGCCTGCCCGAACCCACAGCCTTGGTGCTCTTTCCGCCCAACTCCCCGATCAAAGAGACCCGCTGCCAACTTCCACAAAGAGCACAGAGGGGAGGAAGGAAGAGGCTCCAGGAACGCCCTTGCCCATGGCCTTACACACGACCAACCTGGGTGCGATCCCCAGCACTCCGTGTGGTTGGCCCCAGAGCACTGCCAGATGTGGCCCCAAAACCAAAGTAAGAGACAATAGTCTTCAGGACACTGGCTCCTCTGGTGGGCTGCTGGAGTCTGACTCCAAAGGCTAAGACCACAGAAGCAAAACCGAACAATGGGACCACGGCAGACGGAAAAGCTTGGGCACAGAGAAAGAAACTCCATTAATCTGAAGACATCACACTAAATGAGACGAAATACTCCTATACCATATACCTGACAAAGGGCTAATATGAAAAATGTGCCAAGAAGTCACAAAGCTCAACAACAAAAACGAGCGAGGGAAGGGGCTGGAGCGATAGTATGGCAGGGAGGGTGTTTGCCTTGCATGCGGCCGACATGGTTTGATCCCCGGCATCCCATATGGTCCCCCAAGCCCATCAGGAGCAGTTCCTGAGCACAGAGCCAGGAGTAATTCCCAAAAATCACCAGGTGTGACGCCAAAAGCCAAAAACAAAACAAAACAAAACAAGCAAGGCAGCAAGTGAAGGAGAAAGGCACGCAAGGGGATGAGCACATTCCCAGCACGTGCAGGGCTGAGTCGGACCCTGAGCACAGATATCAGGCCCCACACAACCAGGGTCGGCACTGCTGGGAGTGACCCTATTGGGAAAAAACATGGTAGGGTGCGCCTGAAAAGAGACTCACCAAAGAACACAGAGATAGTAACAAGCGCACCAAGGTGCATCACCACACAGCATCAGGAACAGCCAACAGGGCAGCAAGACCTCAGGCTCGTGACAAAGACCTGAATCAAAAAGGCCAGAAACGACCCTGGGAGGAACGGGCGGGAAACGAAGCTGCATTCACTGTTGGCAGGAAAAATCTGAGAGCCCTGCCACAGGATCCAACTGTTCCATTCCCGACACCCAGGCCCACACCTACGTTCATCACAGCACGGTCTGTAACTGCCGACTTCTGAACACCGCAAGGGTCCAAGGCAGATGGATAAAGACATGTATAAAAACACAAGAAGGCGAGGACAGACAAAGGGGCGGGTGGGAGTGTCAGCACAGGGGTGGGCGCTTGCCTCGCATGGCGCCAACCTAGGTTTGATCCCAGGCACAGAGCCCTGAGCCGCACTGGGCGTGGTCCAAAAACCAAAATAATAAGATTAAATTTAAAAAATGATGAAATTTTGCCTCTTGCTATAACACGGAAAAAGCCAGAGGGGTTTGTATCTAAACATAATAGGTCCTAAAGAAAAGGCACGCACCGGACAGTCTCACTCATACATGGAACAGCAAGAAGCAAGGGAAGCAGCAACCAATGACCACAGAGCCAGGTGAACCGGCAGGATATGGTGTGGCAACACATTCCCAAGAGGCATGCAACTGGACCCCCAAGAGGCCAGTCTTTCTGCTTCAAATTTACAAGGTTGTTTTGGTTTTTTTTTTTTTTTTTTTTTTTTTTGCTTTTTGGGTCACAGTGATGCACAGGGGTTACTCCTGGCTTTGCACTCAGGAACTACTCCTGGCAGTGCTCAGGGGATATGGGATGCTGGGAATCGAACCCAGGTCAGCCGCGTGCAAAGCAAATGCCCTACCCACTGTATCGCTCCAGCCGACAAATAATGCCATATGTGGTCCCAAGTGCTGCCAGGGGAGCTAGAAATAGCCCCTGAGCATAGCAAGGGAACAGCCAGGTCACCCCACCACACCACCCCGAAACCTCTACAGGTCCAGGGACCCCTACCCCATGTTGCTCCCCGCTGGCCCAGAGAGTCAGTTGGGCAAGGCAGGTGTTGGCCCCATGGAAGGTTCCAGACCACGGGGGCAAAGTCAACATGACAGCACAGCACGGGGATGGGAAACAGTGACATCTCGCGGGGACATAAAGACCCTCCCCGCCAGTCTGCGTTCAGCAACTTGGTGGCCTTAGAGGACGGCTCCCCGCGAACACTGCGTCAACTGAGAGGAGTCCCACAGCAGGGGGCAGGGGACAGAGGGCTGCCCCCACTCTCAGGACACCTGCCCCTGTGGCCACTGGGGATGGGGCCAGCACTCCTGGCAGCATAAATAGACCCGGGCCGGGAGGGTCCCGCTGGGTGGCGCTGGGCCACACGGGGCTCCAGAAGGCACCAAGGCCGAGGAGCAGGCGACAGCAGCGGACTCCCGGGTCAGGGCAGGAGCCTGAAAACACCTCCCAGTTTGCCCAGTTTCCCGGGCCCACCAGCTCTGAAGTGACAACTTTTGTATGAAATGGCTTTAAAAAAAAAAAAGAAATCTGGAACCATGTCCATTTTGTTCCACTGTCCACTCGATGCCACACTTGTAAAACACAGGAGCCTATATCAACATAGTTTATTTTACGCCACTTAAAAGGAATCATACTTGGTGCTGGAGTGATAGCACAGCGGGTAGGGCGTTTGCCTTGCACGCAGCTGACCCAAGTTCGATTCCCACCATCCCATATGGTCCCCCGAGCACCGCCAGGAGTAATTCTTGAGTGCAGAGCCAGGAGGAACCCCTGTGCAACACCGGGTGTGACCCCCCTCCCCACAAAAAAAATAGGAATCATAAAATGCAGCTGAGTATTGCCAGGGAGGTAATAGCCTGAGGGGCATAGCTGGCAGCTGAGGGCAGCAGTTCTGGGGGGGGGGGAGAACCCCAAGCTCATCCTAGGAGGCCAATTAGGAGGGCAGTGGGCCACTAAAAGAGGCTATGGGAGGAACAAGGCTGAGAAAGAAGGGGTCACAAAACTACACTAGAGACGAGGAATTCTGGGCTAAGGCTCCAAAAGTCACTTAAGAGGAAATCTGCAGTTAGATGGTCCTAAGAACTCTGGGAAACTAAAACAAGAAAAAGCCTTAGAAACAATCAGAGAGAAAGTAAGGCGATCACTTCCCAGGAAAGTCCATAATGAGCTTGTTATCCAGAGGACCAATGGAAGACAAGATTGTATCCACATGTATCTTTCGAGGACAAAGGTGAAATAAACATTTCCAGGCAAACAGAAACCACAGCGCTCTGGTGAAGAAAGAACTGATTACCAGGTTCCTAGAGGCAGAAGGAAACCATGGCAGATGGAGATCAGAAAGGAAAGATGAGCAGAATAAAAAAGAGGAAGATGTGAACAGTCCCAGAGATGCTGACACTGGGACTTAAGGTGCCCCGAGCCCAGGCAGGAGTTGGGGGTAGAGAGAAAGAAAATATCCCGGGGCCTGGAGCGATAGCAATGAGGAGGGCGTTTGCCTTGCATGTAGCCAACCCGGGCTCGATTCCCAGCATCCCACATGGTCCCCCTGGGCACTGCTAGGGGTAATTCCTGAGTGCAGAGCCAGGAGAGACCCCTGTACATCGCCGGGTGTGACCTCCCGCCCCCCCCCCCAAAAAAAAGGAAAAAAAGAAAACATCTGACAGACAACAGACACTGGAATAGATTCACCACTGCCAGCCCTGAGGACCCGCGCCCACAGGGGGACTTACCTCTTAACCACCCAGTTTCCTTGGACCAACATCGCCACCTTCTGGATGCCACGCAGCACTGCCACGGAGTCGATGGAGGGACCCAGGAGGCTCATCAAGTTGGCAAAAGGCATAACCTTCACTGAGGAGGACCAGGAGTCATGAGCCTGGCCACGCCCTTCACCCAGCTGGCACCCAGTCCCAGGGGCAAGGCAGCTGCATCAGCCACTGGCTGTCTCCTGTGGCTCCCCCCACTCCCATCCCCTACTCCAGTCCTGGGAAACAGCCACTGAGGGCGATGACAAGGTGCTATTGGTTACAGAACTCATGACACTCAGCTTGTCAAGTCACCAAGCCAGGAGTGAGCCCAGACCACGTGCGACCCAGACTGCGGGGCCTGGACTGACCACTGAGCTCTCCTCTGCCCAAACACCCCCACACCAGTCTGGGCAGTTGGAACTGGCTGTGGTCTCCACGTGGACAGCTCGGAGGAGCAAACCCCTGAATCCCGGTTCCCAGGCCCCGCGGCCCTGCCTTCCGACTGTCTGGGGAGAGGGGCCCCAACAGTACTGGGACAGCCGTGGGGCTGGGCCTGGCAGCCTGGAGGAGCTTGGGCTCTGCACGCCACCCTGGGGAGCGTCCCCTCCTCTCCGAGCTGCCCGCTGCAGACGAAAGGGCAGGGACAGAGGCCTGCAGTGCCACACATGTGCACGGGAAACCTCTGAGACATGCCAGGCTGTGAAGCCCCGGCAGCCGGCTTGGGCACTTTCAAATAAACCCCGACGGCTGGGCGCACAGGAACCCCAAGTTGCCGTGGGGGTGCTCGCTGCGTCCTGGAGGAGAGGGAGGGCGGCCACCCACCGTTCTTCATCAGGATCCTGATCTGGTCGGCCAGGGGCAGGGTGCGCAGCTGGGCCATGGAGAGGACGTTGCTGGGGGCCACCGGCTTGTCTCTGTTGGAAAACAAGGGTGACGGGTGACCAGAGGCTGATAGGGGTGGGGTGCAGGGGTCCAACCCCCCCTCCACTCACTTCTCCTCCTCCTGGTTGGGCGGCATCAGCATCATGAGGTACTCGCTGTGGGGAGAGCGCGGGCGTCAGTGGCAGAAGGCCCGACTCCCCTCGGCCAGACCCCACACCCAGACGGAGAGGGGGCTGCATCCCAGGAAGGCCCCGGTCGGGGTAACACTCCTGCCAGCCTCACCTGGGCGACTTGACAAGCTCCGTGTTCTCGGCCCCGCCGGAGCCCTGGCACAGCAGGTACTGGCGCTCGTGCTCAGAGCGGCTGTCCTGGGGGGGGGGGGGGGGTGTGACATCTCAGTCAGCGCCAGGTCCCTCCTGCACCCCCACGCCACCACCCAGGTGATGCCTGCCAGCAGCCTGTCTGCCACTCAGCTCGCCCCCAACTCTGCCCCCACCTCTCCTGACCGGTAGTGCCCCTCCTCGCTCCCCGCCCCTAACCTGCCCCTTCTCTCTCCCCTCCCCCTCTTAACCCTGCCCCTTCTCTCCCCTCTCACCCCTCCCCTAAACCTGCTTCCCCTTCCTATCTCCACAGGATCGGGCCCTGACCCGACCCGTCAGGGGGCTCACCCTCAGGCCGTAGTAGTGCAGGTGGGCCCAGGGCTCCTCTGCGTGCTTCTTCTGCAGGAACTCGTAGGACTGCACGCGCCGCTGCCGGGCCTGCTCCGACTCGGGCCGGGAGAAGCGGACCTGGGGTGGGGGCATCTGGCTCAGGCCTGGGGCACTGCCCGGGAGCTCACCAGGGAAGGGAGGGGGCACTCCCCACCCCCACCCCGGCACAAGTCTCTGCAAGCCCCTTCCACCAGGTCCCTCCGTGACCAAGGAGCAGTGTTTCTGGTGCCGCCTGCCCAGCATTCGCATGCCCGGGGGCATTGCACCCCCCTCTTCCTGACACCCCACCCACAGAAGTGGGCACGTGACTCGGACGCAGACCCTGAATCCCAAACCCTCAGTCACAGGGGCTCGTTCAGGGTTGGGTCAACCAACGGAGGTGAATCGGAAGTGATGAGACAGAGTTTCTTCGCCCCTGCGGTCCTGGGAAGCTGGGGGACACCCCCACTCACCCAACCGCCGGGGCCAGACAATCCGGAGACGGAGGCCGGGGCTGGGCTGCGGAATCCAGCCCCCCGCAGCTCTCCAGTAACCAGGACACTAGGGGGTGCGCCCGACTCAGGCCCCCGCCCGGGAGAGGCACCCGCAGGGCCGGGCTGCTGCGGAGGAGTCCGGGGACTCTTGGGCCGGGGCAGGGAGTCCGCTAGAAGGGAAGGCGAAGGCATCCCACAGCAATGGAGAGAACAGGGGGGTGCCCCCCGCCCTGGCTGCGACGCCAGAAACCCCCCCTCCACGGCCACTGCAGCAACGCCACGGTGCCCCTTCTGCCACACTGCCCATGCCCACACGTCGGAGCCTAGAGATGCGAAACGGGGGACACTGCTCAAGGGGAGAGCCCACAGCCGACAGGACTGTCAGAGAGAAGCTGCGCCCGGGCCCCACTGCTGAGACAGTCAAGCGGGTGATCACCACAGGGATTGAGCTCCCGGGGTTCTCGGGGGGCGAGGGAGGGGGGTCAGTGAGGCTGGTCCGACCAGCTCTCTCCCAAGGTGAACCCTGGTGCTGCTACAGCCCCTGAAGCCCAGACACGCCCGCCTTCAGCCATGCCGAGGCAACGCTCACCGTGATCTGCTTCACGTCGTCTTCAGCCTCGTCCTGGGAAGAGTCTCCAGCTGCAGAGAGACACGAGCCTGCATCCAGCCCGACCCCAGCTCTCCAGCCCACCCACCGGGGAGGCCTCTCGGGGCAGGGGGAGGGGGCGGCCCTTCTCCAAGACCCAAGGGCTGCCGGAGCACCTCGGGACTCACGTGACCACGGGACACTTGGTCTCCAATCACAGGGCCAACCCCAGCTAAGGTACAGGGCCCAGCCCTGGCAGTGGTGTGGGATGTGGGAGTGGAGTGGGATGGAACCTGGGGCCTTGCCTGGCACGGTCAGCACCCTGGCCCTGGACACCACTTCAGTTGTCAAAGCTGTGGAGAGGGCTGCCGCGGCAACCTACAGCTGGTCCCTTACGCACACACACACACACACACAACCAGCAGGTGGCACGGCTGGGCCCTCACCTTCGGTGGCCGCCTCCCGCTCGCGGTGCTTGCTGTCTGCCTTGTCCAGATATGAGAAGCTGGGGCGCAGCTGCAGGATGCCGTGTAGAGGTGTCAGGTGGAGCTCTCCTGGCAGAGGAAGGAAGCCTTGAACCCGACCCATGGGACTGGGCTGGAGCTACAAAGGGCCCTGGACTCCCCTGCCCGCAACGCAACGCCCACACCTCTGCTCTAGCCCCCCACCCCAGGGCAGCCCACAAGCTCAAGGACCAACTGAAGGCAATCGGGGGACACGGCCAAGGACACAGCCTGGATCAGCCCATGAGCAGACGCTTGTGCTCAGGCCACCGCCACAGGAGCACAGAAGCCGGGTCCCGGTGCCGGCACTCACTGGACAGACCCCCACAGCTAACACCTCCCGTGCCTCTTCCTGGCCCCTGCCAGATCCCCCTCATGTGTGACCACCCCGGAGAAACACAGACACACAGACAGACAAACAGAAACACACACGTACACACACACACATCCCTGCCAGATGACCCTTATATGTGCCCACTCCGGAGACATGCACACCACACCACACACACACACACACACACACACACACACACACACACACACACACCCCTGCCAGGTCACCCTTACATGTGCCCATTCCGGAGACATGCACACGACAGCACACCACAACACAACACACACACACACATCCCTGCCAGATGACCCTTATATGTGCCCACTCCGGAGACATGCACACCACACAACACACACACATCCCTGCCAGGTCACCCTTACATGTACCCATTCCGGAGACATGCACACGACAGCACACCACAACACAACACACACACACACATCCCTGCCAGATGACCCTTATATGTGCCCACTCCGGAGACATGCACACCACACAACACACACACACACACATCCCTGCCAGGTCACCCTTACATGTACCCATTCCGGAGACATGCACACCACAGCACACCACAGCACAACACACACACACACACACACACTCTCTTCTTCCTCTTCTCAGCCACCACCTCTTCCATCAGAGCCTTTAAGGCTGTGGTCCCCGGAGTGCAGCCTCTGCTTCCGGGCCCTCACACCCAGGCCTGCGAGGCTGCGCAAAGACATTGACTTGATCGATTTCAATCAAGTCAATGGAGGCTGAAAGAGCTGCAGAGGCTCGGGGAGGCTGCCCGGGCTCCAGAAGGAACAGGCCGCCGAGGCTTAGGAGGAATAGGAGGAACTGAGTGACGGCCCTGGCTACAAGGCCTGCAGATTCTTGGATTTTAGGAACCCAATCCCTGCGCTGTGGGCAGATTCGAAGAGCATAGCAGCAGGAGACACGACCTTGCTTCTGCTCTGTTTTCAAATTCATTTCCTTTTGTGCCCTACAGCTGTACCATCTCTCAACTCGGCTTTATAAGCCCTTAAGTACTTCTAATATTTGGGACGTTTCCAGTCACACAGGCAGGATTCACATGCCACACAACTGAGCAGACTCCCCGCCGTGCCCGCGACTCTAACACCTGCGTGGACAATGCACCCCGGGGGAGAAGCTGTCAGCACAAGGACTTTGTATTTAAAACAAAATTCCGCTGCCCACCTCAAAAGGCGAACCGTGTGTGTGTGTGCGCGCACGCGTGTGTGTGTGTGTTCAGTGGCAGATGCGCTTCATGTCAGCCCATGGATGTCAGCCCATAAAGCCCCAGCCTCCACCCCACCCACTCAGCCCAGGGGCGCCACCCCCCGGACGCCCAGCAGGGTACCTTGCCTGTAGAGTGCAGCGGCATACCGGGAGGTGTTACTGGTGGTCTGGGAGGAGCAGAAGGTCTGCTTGTCCATCAGCTTCCTGGAGCACAAGGGAGAACGGCATCAAGGGGAAGAAGCCTGGTGGCCACAGTCCCTCCCATCCCCGAAGGATGGGCTATGGGAACCAAGCGGGGGAGGGGGAAGGGCCTGTAACAGACCCAGATGTGGTGGGGAGCCCAACCGTGGCCCGACAACTCACGAGGAATACGTGCTGGTCTCATCGGCACAGGCACCGTCCACGTTCAGCGCAATCTGCTCCCCTTTGCTGCGGCAGTAGTTGGGGTTCAGGGTGTCGATGGCCATCTCAAGCTCTACCTGGAGGTACCAAGCACTCCCAGTGATGAGGACCCCGAGGCACAGTTCTGAGGGCGACCAACCCCTGCCCCGGCCATGGGGACAGCAACAGGATGCAGTGCCCCCTCTCCCACGGCCCCAGGCTTCCTCCTACACCCAAACCTACAAACCCTAATTCGGACAGAAAGCCAAAGAGCCGCTTCACTTTGGTGAGAGGAAGAAATGGGGAGTACCGTACCCTTTTATTTGTGCCCACACCCCCCCCCCCAAAAAACCATTGAATCAGGTACCAACACAAAATAATCAACAGATTCTCTCATGAAAATCCCCAGCACCTCTTGGAGGTCATAAAGCCAGAGGCCCAGAGAGAATACTGGGGAAGGGACTCGCATGCTGCTGATTCCAGATTGGTGGCAAGGGATACAGCTCAATGGCAGAGCACATGCCGAGCACCGGTTTGATCCCAGACAGAGAGTAAGTGTATGCGTTGTACCCATTTTTCTGCGTGCACGTGTGTATGCTAATAGCTACCACCACCACCAAGCCAGTGGTACTGGCAATGCTGAAGCAGCGCCGCTAGGGGGTGCTAGAGCCACAGCTGCAGGAGGCACACAGAGAAGCCGGTCTCAAGTTCCAGGACCCTCCAGGCACTTTCCCTTCACCCCATCCTGGGGACCACGTACTCACCCCTGACGCAGTTTTCTTAATCATCTGAGGCCTCATTCTGCCCCCTGGTCTGTCTGCTGCTTCCTCCTCTGCATGCCCAACTCCCAGATGGCCCCTCTCCCCCCCCTTCATTCCCTCTAGCATCACCCCACCATGCCACATCCTCTTCCTGCTAAGAGAGCAGCCCACCTTCTGCTGCTTGGGCTTGATCCTGGCTGAGAGGTGTGGAATGTCATCGTAGGTCATCGAGGCAGGCCGCACGGGGTACTGGGGAGGGGAAGGGAGAGTCAGCACAGCCCCCCATCAACGCCGACTTGCCCCAAACCAGACCAGACCAGAGGCTCTGGGGCACCAGCCAGCTGCCTTACAAAGGGCAGATGCCCAGGAATCCCAACAGGCACCGCCAGCAGGTCAGCAGGCCTTAGCGACCCACAGAGGGCGGCCTGGCTTCAAAACCTGGAGCTGGCTCACCGGCCACGCGGGGAGAGGGGAGGTGAAGGGGGCTGGAGCATGGGGACTGCAAGGCCAGAGGGCACAAGGGGCAAGCAGAGTGCCGGGTGCTGAAGGGCTGGACACCCCATCTCTGAGCTTGCCCGCAACAGAGAGACAACTGAGAAGGCGCTGGTCCCCCACCAACCACCTGGAGTCCTCCACAACTCGCAGTGTTGAGTTACTTGGATCACACCCTCCGTCGCAGCCACAATTCCCTCCGTCTCCCAGGTTGCGGGGTCAGTGTGTGGATGCAACCACGTGCAAATACCCGGGTGTGCTGAAGAGGTAGCACAGCGGGTAGGGCACTTTCCTTGCATGTGGCAGACCCTACTATAATTCCCAGCACACAATATGGTCTCCAGAGCCCTGCTAGGAGAGACCCGAGCGAGGGCCAAGCAACCTGGGGATCATGCTCTTAAAATAACAACCTTGGGGGCCAGAGCAATAGTAAAGCAGGGAGGGCGCTCGCCTTGCAGATGGCTGACCAGACACAATCCCTGGCATCCCACAGGGTGATTTGAGTGCAAAGGCTGGAGTTAAGTCCTGAGCACTGTTGGGAGTGGCTCAAAAAAACAAGAACAGACCAAAAACAAAACAAGTGCAGTGCTTTCATATGACCCAACACGTCCACTACCAAGTCAGTACTCAAAAAGGGCTGAGCAATAATATAGCAGGTAGGGCATTTGCTCTGTACACGGCAGACTGGGGTTTGATCCCCAGCATCCCATATGATCCCCCCCACCCCCCGCCGAGCACTGCCAGGAGTAATTCCTGAGTACGGTGCTCAGGAGTAAGCCATGAGCACGGTTGGGTGTGGCCCAAAATGGAAGAAAAAAAACTACATATATAGATAGATAGATAGATAGATAGATATAGATATATATATATCTCACGTCCCCACAAAACCCTAGCTGGGAATGCTTCTTTTGTTTTTTGGGTCACACCTGGCACAATGCTAAGGGGTTACTCCTGGCTTTGCACTCAGGAATTAGTTCTGGCGGTGCTCTGGGGACCATATGGGGATGCTGGGAAATCGAGCCCAGGTCAGCTGCGTGCAAAGCAAAAGCCCTACCCACTGTATATCGCTCCAGCCTGTAGCTGAGAATGCTTTTAACAACACTCTTCAGAGAGCTGGAGCGATAGCATAGCGGGGAGGGCATTTGCCTTGCATGCAGTCGACCCAGGTTCAATCCCCAGCATCCCATATGGTCCCAAGCACTGCCAGGAGTGATTCCTGAGTGCAGAGGCAGGAGGAACCCCTGTGTAGCGCCAGATGTAAGCCAAAACAAACAAAAAACACTTCACTTCAGATCAGTCCAAAGGGGAAGTTATTAATTTAAATAATTAAAAGTAAAGTAAAAAAGTAAAGGCCCTCCCGTTGATCGTCGATTTGCTCGAGCGGGCCCAGTAACGTCTCCATTGGAGACTTTGTTGTTACTGTGTCTGGCATATCGAATACTCTCGGTAGCTTGCCGGGCTCTCTGAGAGGGGCGGAGGAATTGAACTCAGGTCGGCCATGTTGGCTGCATGCAAGGCAGACGCCCTACCCGCTGTGCTATCGCTCCAGCCGATAATTTTTATTATTTAATGAAATATCTCAGACACCAAAAGCTGGCCCAACAATGATGGGGGGCGGGGGCCTGGGGCGGTCACATGAAGTCATACAACGGAGGACAAGTCCCCAGCAATGACGGGCCTGGATCCCTGCAACAACCTGGGGTGAACCCTAAAAACAGGGGGACCAAGCAAAAGAAGCCAGACTCCAAAAGGCCACGTGCACACTCTATTGCCATGAAGCAGCCGGACAGGCAAACCCAGCGGTAGAACATAGGTCCAAGGCTGCTAGAGGGCTACGAGGAGGAGCTGCCTGTCCAAAACTGCAAACCGAGGTCTGAAAGATCGTGGGTCCGGCCCCTTTGATGGTGGATTGAGCTGTTACAGGTGACTTCCATGGCAATAAAGCTGTCGCCAAATTACAGGACGCACCTGGGAAGAGAGGGGTCAGCCCCGGGGTGCTGTGTCAACCTCAAGGCTCAGAATCTGAGAGCCAGGGGAGAGGCAACTGCCCGAAAACTGGAGGAAGCAGGGCTAAAAACTGGGGGGTAGGGGTGGCGGGTAGAAGGCTTGCAGCGGGTGGGGACTGCAGAAAACCCACCCCGGGCCTCTCTGTGTCTCTCTGTACAGTGTTCCAAGCATTTCCAGGTGGGCTCCTCCAAGCCTCACGGGTGTGACTACTACCCTCATTTTGCATGTCAGCAAACTGAGGCACAGAATCACCGAACTTGCCTGAGTGTCCACGGACTGTGAGCACCAACCCCATCCTGCCGCTCCCTGCTCTCTACCTGGCTCTGCCCAGCTCAGAATCAAGGCGCTGCCCTGGACCCCCTGGCAAAGCGGAGAGCCAAGTGGCCACACTCCTGCAACCAGGAGACCCCAGCAGAGGGTGTTTCTCCGGTGCCCGCCCCCCCACGCCCTCCCCTCTTTTCCTGCCGGCTCTGCAGTTACCTGAAACAGATAGAGCTTCTCCGCAAGACTCTTGGCCAAGTACACATCGATCTGGAAACAAGGGGAGAAGACTTGACCAGGATGTCAACAGAAGCCAGGGCCCTTCCCGCCGCTCCTGCGGATGCTCCTCCAGCCCAGGTCCCGGCAGTCTGGGCGAGGAGCTCAGCCCCTTTGGACAAGAGAGGAAAGCACGCCCATCCCGGCTCATCAGAACCCCCGGAAACAACATCTTCCCGGAGAGACCAAGGCGATGCTTTTCTGACGCACTGGGCACTGGCCTGCAAAAGTGGGTGGGCCCAGCCGTCCTCCTGCCAACCCCAGCGGCCCATGCCCTGCAGCAGCGGACCTTCCTGCCTCCGGACGCTCTGGGCCAGCCAGCACAGAGGCCGGTGCAAAGGGCATTCAGGTGGCGGGCACAGTCCCCCGGCAACAGGCGGACTCTAGAACCTGCCACTCCATGCCTGCTCCCGGTGACTTATCTTTCCCCTTCAGGCTTTAGGGTCACACCCAGAGGGGCTCAGGGGCTATTCTTGGCTCTGTGCTCTCCCTCGGGCCCCATCCTGAGACCTGAAATGTTCGATCTGACCTTAGGGAGTCCATCCCTGCAGTGTGCCAAGGGCAGAAGTACTGCCTTGCTCCCTGCTGCCTTGCCCCCTGCCCCCTGCCCCCCCCCCGCCCCGGGGCTCAGGGAATGTTGCAGAGTGACCGGGTAAGCGGAGGAAGAAGCGGGAACTGTCAGGTCCACTTCCGCAGGCTGCAGTCACTGAGTGCTTCTCGGCGCCCAGTGGCACCTGCTTTGTGGATCAACAGTGGAAGGATGGAGAGCGCGGCCCTCGTGGACTGCACGACCCAGGAAAGTGGGTGGCGCAAAGCACAGCCACGGGAAGGAGCTGGGGGTGCAGGGGGGCCTCTCTGGATTCTGCACTGGGGACTTGGCAGGGCGAGGGCATGGGGGAAGCAGGTCTCTGCGGGCAGAGGCCTGGCACAGCGCTCACCTCCTGTACGACTGGGTCATCCTCTTCATTGGCCATACTAGGGGGGCAGCCGCACAGTCCTCGGATTCAATCTGCAAGGGAGCACAAGAGGTCTGGGGGTCAGCTCCAGATGCCCAGATATCAGGGCTGTCCACTGGGTGCTGGGGAACTGTACCATGTACCGGGGTAAGCCCACAACGCCCCAGAAAGAGACCCGCGAGCAGACGCCAGGTGCCGATGGGAGGAGCAGAGGAACCACGCGGGAAAGAAGCGCTGAGCGGAGGCAGAAACACTCAGACACTAACAGGGACCATGGGGATCTCATCAAGGAGCCCCACACCAGGAAGGGGACCCAGGAAGGGAAAGGCTCGCTAGGGCTCGACACTACATGGATGTTCCATGTCCCAGATGACCCTGGGCCACACCGCAACGTACGCTCCTCCAGAGGGCCTTCCACAGCCCCTCGCCCGCACCCATACCACAGGCCTGGGGTATTGAGACGCCACATGAGCCACGTGCAGGCAAGTCGACAAACTGGGGTGGGGGAGGGGGAGAGGGGGGCAGAGCAGTAGGTAAGGCCCTTGCCCAGCACGCAGCCAACCCAGGTTTGACCCCAGCACCTCACATGGTCCCCTAAAGCCCGACCAGGAGTGATCCCTGAGGGCAGGGCCAGGAGTATACCCTGAGCACTGTCAGATACGCCCTCCCCTCAAAGAAGACATTGGTGGTTAAAAACTGTGGGTAGGAGGGGCCAGGAGCATTCAGGGAACCATGTGGAGGCTGGGGAGGAGCCTTAGGCTGGGTCCTGAGAGATGGAAGGATGGGGGGGGGGGTCCACACATGAAGGGTAAGGGGCTCCTGGCAGAGATCAGCCTCACAGCTGAGCTGACGCTCACATTCCCAAAGTGGGGTGCAGTCACGTAAGAGGCACCCAGGGATCCTCTGGTCCCGGGCCTCCCCTTCTGGGCCAGAGCCATGCAAGATCTGCCTCGTCTCCTTCACTCAGAAAACTGCATGAAGGGAGCAACCCCCCTCAGTGGGAGGCCGGCAACAGGCCACGGTGGGCCAGCCAGGGTCTCTGCCCACCGCACTTGCTCCAAATCCGTACTCCAGCCACAGAGCGGCCACTGGCCCTGCTACATCTCTTGGTCTCACCCTGTCCAGTCTAGCTGCTGGCTACCCCGATGCTACCTCCTGCAAACTCTCCTTCCCAGCCCCAGGACCCCCTAAACAACCTCTCAGACCCTGACGCCCCCAGCTGCTGTAACTGCCCCTCCCCCTCCCCTTTGCGGCTCCCTGCTTTACCAGCCAGGGTGTTGCATAAATGTTACCATGCCACCCAAGGTCTTACCTGTCCTGCCCCCTGGCCTGCCTGGTCACCTGGAGCTGCGCACTTATAGCCTGTCCCCAGCCCTCACTCCACAGCAAGTGGCATAAGTGGGAGACCTGGGTCTGTTCGGCCGCTGTGGCACTTGTGCCCTTGACTGGCATACAGCAGGCACTCAATACCTACTGATGCAATTTCTCAGGGAGCTGAGAAAGAAGGCTGATGTGGTGGGGGACGAGCCGGTCACTCGGAGTTAGGAGATGGAAGGCCGGGTGAGTGGCAGGAGAGGGGGTGCTCGGTGCCCACCTGCCTGCACGGGCTGCCCAGGGTGCCACAGACTATGCAACTGAGAGTTCATGACAACAGAGAAAGCCGCCCCAGGGAGCAGGGCGTGGGGCTGTGTACCCAGAGGACGTGGCCTGGGAGGGTCCCCAGGCAAAATCAGCAGGTTGTCGTCCCCGTCCCCCCCGACCCCCCCCCCCCCCCGGTCAAGTGCCACATGGTCAGAGAGAGCAGAGGGAGAGGCACCATTAAGCCAGGCTTCTCCTTCTGGACAGGGTGTCTGACTAGACTCCTGCTGGTCCACCAGCCCACTCCAACCTCCCACTTGATAGCACTCAAGGTACTCACCAAAGACCCACAGTTAGAAATCTACTGCCAGGCCCCAAGTGATAGGAGAGGGGGCCTTGCACGCAGCCAACCCGGGTTTGATCCCCGGCCCACATATCCCTGAGCCCCACCAGAGAGGGGTCCCTGAGCAGAGCCAGGTGTACCCTTTGCTGGCCCTGGCCCGATGGCCACCTGCTGGGCCTTCAAACCTTTGCACCAGATGGCCGCCCTGCCTCCGGGCCTTTGCTCACCTGGACTTCTCAAGCTGGGCTCCTTCTCTTGCAAGCCGACTGCCAGGAGATCCACTCCCTGACCAGTCCCTCTCTGTCCTTCAGACTCCCCCCGGGCTCTATCTCCCTGTTTTATGTCCACTGGGGTTCTCATCACCGTCTGCAGCGACCTAGTCCACTGGCCACAGACCAGTTACCACCGGCAACGAAACATGAGACCTGCGAGGGCCCTCAGTCCTCTATGTCCTCCACCACACAGTGGACACAGTGACTAGGCTGGCTTCATCACGTGACCACAGAAATCACGACCTTTGAGTGTTTGGTTTTTCTGGGCCACACCTGGCAGGTACTCAGGGCTTACTCCTGGTTCTGTGCTTTGGGGACCTTAGGAGGTATTGGGAATCACCCAGAGGTTATTAAAGGTACTGTAAACATAGAATCTCAATTTTAAAAATAAAAAAAAAAACATTTTAAGTATATGGGGCCAGAGAGACAATACAGCGGGCAGGGCACTTTCCTCAAATGCAGCTGATGCGGGCACCCCATAAGGTCCCCTGAGCTCTGCCAGGAGTGATCCTTGAGCTCAGAGTCAGGAGTAAACCCCTCATGAGGACCACCGGGTGTGGCTCAAACATAAAACTTAAAAATAAATAAACCATGAAAACACAGGGGCTGGAGCAATAGCACAGCAGGTAGGGCGTTTGCCTTGCACGCGGCCGACCTGGGTTTGATTCCCAGCATCCCATATGGTCCCCTGAGCACTGCCAGGAGTAAATCCTGAGTGCAGAGCCGGGAAGTAACCCCAGGTGTGACCCAAAAAGCAAAAAACAAACAAAAACATGAAAACACAGAGAGAGAGAAAGAGAGTGATCACAAGGCAAGCGCCTTTACCCTCTGTTCCATACTACCTTGCCCCACCCTTCCTTTCATTCTCTAACCCAAGCTGCTGTCTGCATCACCTAGAACCACCCGTGACAGAGGGTGTGAAAGCCGGTATCAGAGACCCTTTCCTCGCGGAGCCTAACTCTGAGCAGGAGACTGGCCATCCACCATGGTCCAAGCTTCTCCCAGCAGCAGCGACCACCTGGGAACCCTATGGCCTCCTCTCCCATGGCAGTGGGTCTGGCCTTGACCCAAGATACTAGATGGGGTCCTGCAACCGCCCGAAGGAGTTCCAAGAGGGTACAGACCGCAGGTTAAGGAGGGTCCAGTACAGAGCATGTATGGGAGGGCACCCGTGCCACACCCTGGAACCTAGCCTGCCAATCTGGAAAAGCCGAGGCCGCTGGGGTGGGATGACAAGATAATAAGGGGAATTATGGGGTGAGGACACCCGGGCAAGTCCTCTCCAACCTGGTTCTGTAGACCCCAGAAGTGGGGAAGGGGGTGCATTTCCCTTCTTTGGGTCACCTGCAGCCCCCCACCCCACCCTCTGTCAAAGCAAGAGCCGGAACATCGTCCTCCGGGCCCTTTCCAGTACACTCTCGCCCGGTCCTCTCAAGGGCCCAGTTGGGTTCGGTTCTATTAGTCTCCGTCCGGAAGGAGGAAAGAGAAGTTGGGACAGTCATTTGCCAAGGTCACACGGTGCCGGAGCATGGCGGCAGCGGGGCCTGGGCGGCTGGGTCTCATAGCCGCTTCGCCGCACGGCTCGGGCGGAGGAAGGGGTGGTCCGGCAGGCAAGTGCCCGGACTCTGGCGCCCGAGCGCGCAGGTTCAAGTCCCACCTCTGCTGCTTCCCTGCCAGGGCCCGCGCGCGGCCTCTAAAACCCCCGCCGCGACCCTCACTATTTTCACCCAGAGGCCGGCGGCGGGAGGGGACCCGGGGCCAGAAGCGAGGTGACAACCGCGACCGCGGCGAGGCGCAGGCCACTTATGACTCGCAACATGCGTTCCTCCCCCGCCCGCTGACCCTGATATTTTGGCCCTTCGCAGCGCCGAGCTGGGATGACACCTCCTCCCCACCCCGCGCGCTGGCACGGCAGTGGGGGTCCGTGGCGACCCCCGAGATCAGATCTCTCGCCGCCCCCCGCCCCCAGCCGGCGGTGCTCAAGCACACGCGACAGGACGACCTCGCCTTCCTGCCGGTGGCCGCTCGCCCCGCTGACACCTCCTCGGCCCGACGGATGGTCAGGCCCTGCGGACCGGGGGCGCGGAGGAGGAGGCAAGGACGAAGAAGCGGGGGGCCCGGGCCGCGTGGGGGTCCGGGAGGGTCCCCTCCACGGCCCGCGGCACCCGGCAGGGCGCGGCCGGCTCCCCGGTCCCGCGCTGCCGCCCCGTCCCCGCCGCGAGCCGGACCCCGCAGCCCCGCGGACAGGTGCCGGGCCGGGGCACCGGCGAGCGGACCCTGAGTCACCGCCCGCGGCCTCCGCGCTGCCCCCGCCCCGCGCGGGCCGGGGTCGCGGTCCACCCCCCGATCCCCGCCACCGCCAGCCCGGGGGCCCCGGCACGCTGCCCGGCCGTCCTCGGCGCCCCGCGGCCCGCAGCCCCGGCCCCCGGCACGCCGCGCTCGGCGGGGGCCTCCGGCCTACGGGCAGCCCGGCCCGGCGCACGGCCGCCAGCAGGGCCCGGCGGCGGCGGGCCCGGGCGCGGCCGGCGCCGCACTCACCTCCCCGCGGGGGCCGCACGCGGCCGGCGACAACGGCCCAGGGCCCGCGGGCTGCAGAGGCGGCGGGGCCGGCGCTCCGCTCAGGCAGCCGCCATGTTGCTGGCGGAGCGACTCCAGGCGACACGTGGGGGCAGAGCGGGGCGGGGCCTCGCGCTTCCTTTTACCCACAATGCCCCGCCCCGGCGCGCCCAGGGCCCGCCCCCTCCCTCGCCCGTTCCATTCATGCCGGCCCCGACCGGCAGCAGGAGGCGCTAGTGCGCCAGCAAAAAAGGCCCCAAGCTTCCGCGCTGGGCGGTGAGGGCGCCGGGGACAAAAGTTTAGCTGGCAGCGGTGGGATTCGAACCCACGCCCCCGAAGAGACTGGAGCCTTAATCCAGCGCCTTAGACCGCTCGGCCACGCTACCTGTACGCCGAGCACGGCGCCAGAAAGCTCTTTAAAATCTTTGCTGCCAATTACAGGGCTTTGCGAGTTCCTCTCTTTCTCCTCTTCTATTTCAGAAGCGTTTCGTTTAGTCAGTTGCCTGTGCTTTCTCGTATCTATTTTCTAATACATCATCTTATCTTTTTTTCTTTTTTTAAAGTATGTGCTCCAGGAAAGGGCCTGCAGAGGCTTGTTCCACATGAGCCAAGATTTAGATCTAGACTTCTTACTAATGAGTTTTAGAGCAAAAAAAGGTTTTGGAAACTGGATTTTAAACCTGTTCTTCAGCACGGGTTCCTCGGCTTCACCCCGGAGACTTGGGTCCCCTGTCTTCGAGAGCAAGTCTAGACTCGGACAGTAAACCACACACTGAGCTTGACTGATTGGCAGGACCCGGGGAATGAGTTTTGGGTGATTTTATTTGAAAAAAAAATTTTTGACTTTCAGTTATACAAATAAAACATTATAACAAATATTAAAATGGCACATACAACGTGAATGCTCTTTTCCTTTGATTCCGCCCAAGTCCCCCCCACCACTGTTGTCTTAGGATATCCGCTCCCTTCTGGGGCTGCGGCTGTGAGTTTACATGGAGATAAATATCAGAGTATCTTTTAAATCTTTATAAAAAACATTTAAAAATGTATTGGGTCATTATAAATAACACTAAAGTCACTTCTGAAACGTGTAAAAAATTAAGAAATAACTTTTTTTTTCACTTAAAAATAATTTGCTATTAGATGGCTTTTGGTACAAGATAAGGATGTGTAGAATATTTTCCTGAGATTTTAGTATACTTTTTTCAATCTGAAAAAAAAATTAACAGATTAAATTGCTATTGCTTTGTGCATTGTAGTCAAAATTTAACACCAGAAAAAATTTATTAACAGTCTGCCTGTCACTTTTTTTTTGGGGGGGGGGTCACACCTGGCAATGCTCAGGGGTTACTCCTGGCTCTGCACTCAGGAATCACTCCTGGCGGTGCTCCGGGGACCCTATGGGATGCTGGGAATCCAATGCTGGTGGGCTGCGTGCGAGGCAAAAGTCCTCCCCGCTGTACTATCCCTCCAGCTCTCTGCCTTTAATTTTTATCATAAATTTGATGTATGTCCTTCTCATTCATTTCCTAGGCAGTCTTATATATTGTCTGTGTATCCATAACAATATATACCATGATTTTTCTGTGTATTTTTATAAATGTTACTGTGTTGTATCAATACCATTTTGCACCTTGTCCTCTCATTCCAATATTAGATTTTTGAGATCCATTGAGATCTAGATACATATATATCAATGCATGTAATATGTGTATGTAATGATACATGCATTCATTACATACTATGAATATCATTTCTAGAATCATAGTTTCTGGAAAAAGTTTTCAGTTAACTCTCAGTTCCATCTCAGTCCCACCTCCCACAGGCTAAACACTGCAAAGCTTGAGTTGTTTTTCGAATGTGTCATGTCATGGATATGGACCTATCCATGTTTTATGGATAGCCAAGAGCTAGGAAATACCCTGGTATTGATCTAGACATAATGAGGTAGGAGCAGAAAGGACTGTTTTTGTTAAATTGCTAGATCTTCCAAAAGGGAAAATCTCTGTGGTAAAGATAATTGTTGGAATTTCTGCCATTTTGCCCCCCACCCCCCACCCCCCGGATTTTCTAGGATTTGCCTGAGCAGCCCAGAGTGGCTCCCCGGAAGCCCCCTTTCAAAAGCTTAGTTAGCTTCCCACACACATCACAGGACAAACAAGATAGAAGATTCTGAATGGGCCACTCAGAGTTGCTCTTGAGAATCTAAACTGAGACACAGCGAGTTGTTGGCTTATTTTTCATGGTTGTAAGTGTTGGAGTTAGTCTCAGAGACTGATTAGAAGTAGAGAGAAAGAAGGATGCAGGGTGGCTGTGTTCTGCAATGGAAAAATTGAGAAAAACCATGCACCACAAAGAAAAAAAAAGAAAAAGAAAGAAAGAAAGAAAGAAAGAAAGAAAGAAAGAAAGAAAGAAAGAAAGAAAGAAAACCAGTGGCGAAACGAGAACAGAGAATCATGGAGAAATCCTGATGGTACTCTGCCTCAAGTCTCCACCCCAGGGTGAGTCCCATTGCCATAGTAATAAATTCCCTTTTTCTGCTAAAAGCTAGTATCACTGCTGTCAATTGCAGTTTCGGAAACTGGTGATGAGGGCTCAAATGAAGCTAGCGTGGTTTCTGCTGGGACATTCTTGGAACAATCCAGGTTTGTTTTGCTGACACATACATACAGAACAATGCTCGAGAGGGAGGGCAAGGCTTGCCAAAGGCTCTCTTGGAAGGGCCCCTTTTGGGGCGTTTCTTAAGTTCTGCAACAACATTAGGCAGCTATTTGATGATGATCAGATGTGAAGATAAGCTGGAGAAGTAGATGTTACATCAGAACTTCTGGGCGTACAAGAGCCAAGCAGCTTCCTGTGGGAGGAGGGAATGAAAGACTGAAACTGAGTTTCCCTTGCTGTGCTGTGATTCGCTACTTTTCTTTTTGCACGACCTGCTTCTCTGGCCCTCGCTAGGGGCAGGTGGAGGGGTAAGCACCACAAATCGGCCGACCCGAGTTCGATTTCTCTGCCCCTCTGGGAGAGCCCGGCAAACTACCGAGAGTAGAGTATTCGATATGCCAGACACAGTAACAGTAACAGTAACCACAAATCTAACACACTACATTTCCAATCTAGTGGCTGACAGATGAACAGTGCCTGTCTCCATGCTCTGGGCAGTATAGGTTCTGTCTCTTAAAACCTCTCTCTGTCTCTGTCTCTGTTTCCCTGTCTCTCTGTCTCTCTCCCCTTCCCCACTCCCTTATGCCCCTAAAAAGAAATTTCATCCCACATCTCACTCAGTCCAAAACTTTCTGCATAAACTTTTTTTTTTCGTGGCCATACCCAGTGATACTCAGGGGTTACTCCTCATTCTACACTCAGGAATTACTACCGGTGGTGCTTGGGGAACCATATGGGATGGTAGGGATCAAACCCAGGTTGGCTACATGCTAGCTAAAAGCCCTACCTGCTCCATTAGCTCTCCAGCCCCTCTCCATGAATTTCCTTCTGGAAAGAAATGAACACTCCTCATCAAGTGCTGAAACGTGTTTCTTCTGAAATTTAATGGCACGGAGATTTGGCCTTGGAAAATGGTTCTACCCATCCCATTGTCTTTCACTCCGTCAAGAGTGTATGAGATTGGGGCTAGAGCGATAGTACAGTAGGTAGGGCATTTGCCTTGCACGCAGCCAGCCTGAGTTTGATTCCCAGTTATCCCATATAGTCCCCTGAGCACCGCCAGGAGTAATTCTTGAGTGCAAAGCCAGGAGTAACCCCTGTGCATCGCCAGGTGTGACCAAAAAAGAAAAAAAAATGTGTATGAACTTTAAAAACTAAACATTCTCTTCCACCTCATATAGCAATTATTTAGTCACAGATTTTTTTTTAAATATTTCTCCTGCGTGGGAGAGCTAGTATAGATATTAAGGCCCTTCCTTGCATTCTACCCAACCTGGTTCAAGTCCCTGGTACTACATATGGTCCTGCTGGGGACAGGAATATTCCCTCAGCACTGCTTGGTGTGGCCTAACCCCTCTCTCTCCCACCAAATTAAAATAAAATAAACTCAGGTCCTTATTGATTCCCTCAGTTTAAATTAAATAAAATAACATGTCTCTACTAAGAGAGAGAGTCAGAAATGTGACTTTTGTGTAGGGTAGGGTAAGGGTGGGGGGGTCTATTCCTGGAGGGCAGCTGAAGGGAATTTTCTGGGCAGACTGCCAATGTCCTAACACCCACCAAGTTGTCCACTACTAGTGAAGTGTATTCTATGTGAGTGACACCGTAATTAAAAATCAAGTTTCTACCAAGTATAAATCACGGAAATTGCTTTCCAGAGGGTTTATACATTCTGCCAAGTTTAGAAAGCAATTTTTCTGTCATAGGCTGGCAACAAAATCATCTGGAATAATTTTCTCGAACACTTTCCTCTAATCTTCCGGGCCCTTTCCTCTTCCCCGCTAAGGGAATACTTTCTCTCAGGTAAGGAATCTGTTTCTTTGGTCACTTTTCCTGAGAAAACTTCCCTCTAGGCTGTTGGTCTCAGATGAACTGTCAGTTCAACTGTCCGTCACAGCATAAGAGGGCGGTTACAAGACCCAAATTGGGCCAATTCTGTGCTTTCTCCTGGAAATCGGATTCAGAGAGGACCCAAAGATTTCGCTCTGTTAACAATAGGGCCAACGAGGAAAGTTCCATGTTACGCTGAACTTCTGCTTCAAGACTCCCACATTTACTCTGGTCCCTCCCTTTCTGGGGCCAGATTCTTTGCATTTTTACTTTCCTTTCTAGGAGGGAAGTGTGAACTTTAACTAAACATTCTCTTCTACCTCACAGAGCCATTATTTAGTCACGGCTTTTTATTTTGAAATGTTTCTACCGGGTCGGAGAGCTCGTAAGGATATTAAGGCCCTTCCTTGCTTTCTACCACCCTAGTTGAGTCCCTGGTATCACATATGGTCCTGCTGGGGGCAGGAATATTCTCTCAGCACTGCTTGGCATGACCTAACCCCTCCCTCTCCCACCAAATTAAAATAAAATAAACTCAGGTTCTTGTTGATCCTCCCAGTTTAAAATAAATAAAATAAATTGTCTTTACTAAGACAGAGAGAGA